GTCTCTAGCCTATGGCATGCTTGGACCCTGAATGTAGCCGTGTCGTTGCTCAGTAGCCTGCTATGCTCTGCTGACCTTGGGACTTACAATGAACTTAAGTTAATGACCTGCTGTGTGGTTTGGTAACATCGGGACTGTGCCTTTTTACTTGTCGACCTTGGGGCTTCTCAGCCTCAGCAGCCAGCAGCTGTCTGAGTGAAGAAATGCCTCTAGCTCCAGTGGTCCGGGAGTAGGAGGCAGAGCTGGACCGCAAGGTTGAGGGGCTTTCACCCAGCCCCTAGAGCTTGGCACTTTGAACTTGGACTTCTTGTTGTTGTTGTTAGGTGCTGTCAAGTAGTTTCTGACTCATAGCGACCCCATGCACAGCAGAACAAAACACTGGCTGATCCCGCACCAGCTCCATGATCCCTGCTATACTTGAGCCCATCATCGCAGCCACCGTGTCAATCCATCTCGTTGAAGGCCTTCCCCTCTTTCGTCGACCCTCCACCTTACCAAGCATGACATCCTTCTCCAGGGAATGATCCCTTCTGACAACATGACCAAAGTAGGTGAGACGAAGTCTGGCCATTCTCGCTTCCAAGGAGCATTTCGGGTGCACTTCCTCCAGCACAGATCTGTTAGTTCTTTTAGCAGAACTAACTTCTGGTTAGCAGTCAAGTGCCTTAAGCACTACACTACCAGAGCTCCTAAGGCTGCAATCTTTACTTTCGGTGTTCTTCGGCAGCACCACAACTCAAAAGCATCAACTTTTCTTCGGTCTTCCTTATTCATTGTCCAGCTCTCATATGTATACAAGGCGACTGGAAATATCTTGAACTGAAAGCCTCCAAATTGTAAGAATAAACTCCTGTGTGTTAAGGGCATCCCATTTGTGGTATATTTCTTGTCAGAGCAGCACTAGGTGACCAGAACACACAGTCATTTCTCCAGTTAATAACACCCAGGCCACATTTTCACATGGACTCTACCAAGACAAAGAGCTCTGGTGGCACAGTGCCCTAAGGCATTTGACTGCTAACTTGAAGGTTGATGGTTCAAACCCACCAGCCACTCCATGGAAGAAAGATGGGGCAATCTACTTCCATAAAGATTTATAATCTTGGAAATCAAATGGAGGTCTCTATGAGTCAGACTGGACCTGGACTTGATGGTAGTGAGTTTGGTTTTGGAGTTTTCTACCAAAATATGAAACTGTAAGATGTTT